TTTATTAACCATATTCACCTTTGTTTTATGGCAAACTGTGATTTACTAACGAAAAAGTCTTTGTTTTATAATCAAGCTTAGAGTATCAAGTGGTCAAGTTATGCCAAATTATGCATTGAATTTTTGAAAACACGCGCCACATGTGCAAATATGAGGTTTGTTACGGGATAAATTTAGTTGAACTCTACCACCTTATAAAACCAAGATGAGAAGTGATTCAGGGGAAAACGCTTTTTAAGCTTTACTGTTCCTACAGAACGTATAAAAACACCAAAAATAAAAAATCTTTGATCAGTGCCATGCTAAATAGTTTGGTAGGTAGACGCTATTTCAAATATTATTCAACCACTGAGACATTTTGGTTTCCACTCCAGTGTTGACTGTAGCGGCACAAAGTTCACATTTACCCAGGGTAATTCCGCCAGAAAAACCTTGGTATTATAATAGAAATCTCGAACAACGGGTTTTAATCGAGCTTCACGGGGATGTTTGCCATAGACGGCACTTGCTGTGGATTATTATCAAGCAATCTAATAACAAATTAGACTATACATTTAAAAGTATATGCGTTAAGTTTTCAACAAAAAAGCCTCATTAAGCATCTTGGAGGGATTCACCAACACATCTTCAGATACATTGCCAAGGTACTCTAAAAAAATTGGTGGGCTGCCAATGTGCTTTTTGCAAAAGATTTCACTAAAACATTTGGATAAAATTTACTTAAAAAGAGGTGCGACATTTTACTCAAACTTGAAGTGGTTTAAACCTAAAATAAACTAGAAGCAGCGAAGGGATTAATTAGACTTTGAGATGTAAAGTTATCAACTTTGCAGACTGGAAACAATTTGCGCATTTGAATTTGGCGATGAAGACAATCGGAGGCGGGAAGGTTGTGGTCATGGTAGAGTGGTTACGAGTTGCTCAACTCATGCAAAAGGACATCAAAACACTTTTTAAACAAGATATTCTTTGACAGAATGACGGCCGACTGACGAAATTGTTTTCCTAACAGCTAACTACGGCAACAACAAATTCGACAGTCGTTTGCATATGTTAACATACAAAGTTGACACGGTTGCAATAGTTTAAGGCAGAACAATGATTTATCGTCTTCATTCAGGCAAGCCTTAAACAGGGGTTAGGTATGCTGGGACATGAAAGACCGCGTGAAAATCTTGTATAAAAACTTTTTTCATATGTCACAATACTACACAGATTAAGCCCGTTTAAGCTTTTGCTTTAAGGATAGAGGATGCCGGAACTGTAGAAATAGTTTTAGAAGCTATTTTTCCTTCCTTTAAGGCAGAACAATGATTTATCGTCTTCATTCAGGCAAGCCTTAAACAGGGGTTAGGTATGCTGGGACATGAAAGACCGCGTGAAAATCTTGTATAAAAACTTTTTTCATATGTCACAATACTACACAGATTAAGCCCGTTTAAGCTTTTGCTTTAAGGATAGAGGATGCCGGAACTGTAGAAATAGTTTTAGAAGCTATTTTCCCTTCCTGTTCAAATACCAGTGCAAGATGAAAAACGAATCCACCTTAGCCTTGAACTAAAAATATCTTGTACCAGGAAGAAGCAAACTCGACAGCTTAGCCGGCTGTTAACTTCTACACAACATTGCTGCGTAGTTCGCTCGTGAATTATTGTTTCATAATTTGCCGCACTATCTAGCTTCTTGCCGTCCTATGCACTATGCAGTGAGTATGATGATGTTAATGAATTCTTTTATTCAAATGATTGACTTTCTATAGACTTATCCAAGGTTTTCGTCTTTTTTGATAAACAAATCATGTAGTTCTTGTGCAGAAGATACCCACAATGAGGTTTCCTAATCCTTTCCCTCTGTATGAAACAAAATGGTTTCTGCTTTTTACCAAAACATTAGAGGCTAATCAGTCATATTTACCCATTTTAGCGCATATTCACAATCGATACATCTGAATGGTTCTGCTGAAAATATAAACCGTCGCTAAAACCAAAATAAATGAAAAAGATTTATTTAATCTATCTCAAAATAGTAATAATATGCATCTACCATTCATCATTCTTTCGTTTGAAATGGTCTTATATTTTTTAACAATAAGCATCCGGTTGCTAAATAAATGTTCACGAACCTCCGGAAATCAGTTCACTGATAAGGATTACTTGTCTTCGACCATTTTAGAAGTGCCTCGCTATTTATTCCGCCGATGCTTTTATTTAATGCTTTGGTTCTTTGTAAATATTTTTACCTGCTTGTTGGCTGGATGAAAAGCTTTGTAACAGACATAAATGGCTATTTTAGCTGTTCCGTTGAGGTTAAGTTCTAAGGGGTGTTGTGAAAATATCGGTTGATCCTGAAGTAAAAGAAAGTCAGACTAGCTACCAACACCTGATTAACCACAGCATGGTGTTCAAGAAAAGCTTGCAAACAGGTCTTTTTTTACTCAGATATGTGCATATATTGCTTCGTTCTATTGGAAGAATTCAAAGTAAAATACAGTAATATCCCGTAGACCTTTATAATTCGTAATTAATGTTGTCAGCTCTGTGTAGTACAATAACTTTACAAAGGAAGTCCATTCATGCGCAGTGGTAATAAGTAATCTATATATTATGGTGTTTATCTATATACATAATAAACTACAGAACAGGATGAAATTATCACTGATTTTAAGTTGTATAACTAAACTGAGGTGTAGGGTGAGATGACTGACTTATTATTGAGAAACTTGTGAGCACCAAGAGGAAGTATACGAGTCAACTATTCGCGGTGCAAGCCTTAATCGCCACAGGGTACACTGTATTTGCATCTCGGAATGCCAGTGGGAGATAACGTAGAAATAGCGAACGGCTGTAGAGCTCGGCATCTTGAACACAGCAAAATATTCTTTGTTCATGAAACGGTCCTTAGTCTGAATGGTCCTGCGAACTGACAAACCACTATATCACCTTAAAACGACGAGTAATATTTCTTGTTTGAGTCATCTATTTTCGTCTGTAAATTTCCAAGACTTGACTTGTTTCAAAATTAAAAACTCTGGGAGAGCTTTTAGAAATAAAAGGAACATTCAATCCTTGGGTTAGAGATTTTAGTGCGATCGTCAACTACGGTTCCATTCGTGATCGGTAGTGTGCTATCAAACATGGCCTATATTATTTGATGAGAACTCTGCAAAATTAAAGGATTTTGATATGCAGGCATTAGGTCTGCATCTAAATTCGATGAGATTTGATAGAGACTAAGTATGTGAATGACCGGTCTACCATGGGCTGAGTGAAGCTTGTTCTGAGTGGTTCCAGGAACAACTATTATCTAAGGTTGGATGACTGAAATTTTGGCTATATACATCAATCGGCGGTTATTTTTGTTACCCGCCCAGGATAATTCTAATAACATGTGGACACTTCTGCAACACTGAATGGTCTATACAGCCGATTTTGAAAATGAGCAAGAGCTTCGCCAGCAGCAGTATCAAATCTCACCAGTGATGGCGTTTGAAGGCTCACAGAGTGATAATTGAAGTGAATGGCTGGGATTAAAAGGGATTGAACATTCTATGCCATTGCTTTTAATCTTCGGAGACTTCGCTTGTGCTCCTGTCTTCGGAAAATTCATCTCCAATAATAAGGACCGTTCTCTTCTTTGGTTACGTGGACCTTTTACTTCCCACGAACGTTTGGCTTAATTAAGCACTGTGGACAGAGTCTTGTACCTTTGTTCGAAGTAGTCTGGATCACGTTTTCCTGAGAATCATGAGGAAAGAAGATGCAAATTAAGTGTGATAGGCTTTTGACGTTCCTCTGTTAATTCTTATCGTTAATTGTTTTCTCATAATAAGGATAAAACACAGTAATTACTGCTATTTGTGATCAGAAACAACATTTTACTCACCAGATACTTATGAATGTTACACAAAGGAATTTGATGATGGCACAGAGATGCAAGCGCAGCGATGAGCATTCCCAAAATGCTTTCCTTTTAAGCTGAAAATAGAAATGAAAAGTTGTCATACTGAAATGTGTGCTGCGTGAAACATGTGTCTGATTGCGCATTTACTCGGAATTTCAAGCTACTCAGTAGTATAGATCAAGCGTATGGCTTTACTGTTTACAAACATTACAGGTTGCTATTCATCGGCCAAGTCTTGCAATTTTTTCGCCCAATTTTCACCCTCAGAGAAGAGAGTAATAGCCATCCATCCAACCCGAAACACCACCATTTTTAATCACCAAAGAGCCCACACTCACTAGTTTTGTTAAGGGTTTCGCTATATTTCCCCAGAAGATACTGAAATATCAAAGTTGTCTTGGCATTCCATGGGGAAATTATGAAAGAAAGATCACACTGAAATTACCCCTTTCAGGATGTTTCAATTCACATAAAATAGTGAATGTTCTCCTGCCTGACGGAGGTGAACAAACGAACATGGGTTTTAGTGTCTGGCGCACTTTTTGTCCCACGATTTTCTCGAAAAGCGTAGAGTACTTCAAGCTCATCAAACATTACAAACGTGATTACAATGAGTGTATTACTTCGGTTAAAAGGGGGTTGTTTTCCTCATGGTAGGTCGGATTTCCGTGTGACATCTTTACGTCTTCAATCTGACTGCTCCTTATCATTTTATGTCTGGCGCAAGTGCCCTTATGTTGTCTGTTTCATACTTACTGGTAGACCCTGTGCTGTGATAGAGCTCCGGCCCGATCGATACGGTTTTACTTCACAATTTCGGATTGTGTTCAAGTGTTTGCTAGTCTGAACGCACGTGTAAATATGCATCTTAGAACTGAATCTGTGTTCAGTGTTCCTTTATTTCAATAAACTGAAAACCTGAGTAGACATTTTTACCAGTTTTTAATCTGACAGTGCGAAGTGTGATCACTAACTTTTTAAAAAAGTTTTCAAACAATCCTCTAAGCCAAGTCTACCCGGCGAAGAAAACTAACCTGTATGCAGCCAACGGTCTCAGGTCATATAAGCTGGTTCACACATTATCGAATAGTACGACTTACAGATAAGTTTCAATATGTGCTGAAATGAGGGAACCGCAACGTTCGTCGTCTGAACGATGTAGAGAACTTACGACGAAGTCACATCTTGTCAGACATACCATTTTCGTCAAGTGATCACTCCGCGATAGCAAACGAAGGCGAGTACCTACCCGAAATTTCTCGATCGTCCCCTCCATTAGCATTCTGCCGCCTGTCTGATACAATTTTATTCTACTGTTTACTTATCTGCACAAAGAATCAAACAGATACCAGGCGATGGGCCTGGAAATCAGCAAGAAGCTTATTGTCCGATCCCTTAAAGCTCATTTATGAACGACGTTTTGTGTGAACATGTATGGCATTGGTCACGTGGGAATTTGGCTGAGTCAAATATTGTTGACCTGAGTACGAGTTCACCGACCAGCCATAGGCGACTCCTGACATGTCCGGAACTACGTGCTCAATTCTAACATTCTGAAAAAGTTGCAGCTAACCGAGCCTGCTCAACTTACCCAGCAAGTATTAATGAAGCGCCTAACCCTAGTTGCATGGAATTTAACCAGTAAATCTCAGCTTTCGGTGTTAATAAGTTTGAATATCTATCCAAAATTGTACTGCGGTCTCAGGTGTTATGGGATGGTTCAAGGCGTCTGCTTATGTATTTGAGTGTGCAAACGATACAGCAGTTCTCCGGCATGACTCTGTCGGGAGGCAAATAACATTCGAATGATTTTCTTTTACTGCCAGTGTTCCAATAGGTAAGTTGATGTGATTTTTGAAAGTGACAATTTAGAGGATTACTCTGAACCTTACCGAGCGGGGGGCCACGGACCTTCCTAATCTTTTAAAGCTGAAAAGTAAGCTTAAAAGGACCCCGCAACCCTAGGATTATAGGCAAACAGATTTTTCAGAAGAAGCAAGCTTTCCAGCTGTCAACACTGCAAATTTATTGGGTGCCGAACAACACCTAACTCATTTAATTGGGCAAAACTGCGTCTGCTTATTTAAACCTCTACCCACGGAAGCTAAACAGTTATGCGCAAAATTTTCGAACATTTTGTTTTTGTTTATAAGCAGAGGCGTTTCAGTTTGCTCTGGCCTGTTTGTTTCATTTCCTAACTCAAACGACAAATCCAACCACTTTGAATCGGCCAATTTCCTGTACTGGTTAAGAATCAAACATTAGCACGGGGAACAACGAAGTATTCCTTCTTGGGATGTCACCTACTGGTCTATTTTAGCATTTAGTGCGAAATACTTTGGTGACTCATTTTATGCTCTTGAAATAATGAAAATTCTTTTCGAATTTCGCTTGGTTTTGCAAAATGTTTTTGGCACACGAATTAAGTCGGTCAATTGTTAGTAATCCTTTTGGTCTTTGTCAGTAATAAAAAGATATTTAGAAATTTCAATCGCGACTTCCTCCTGCAAATGAAGGCAATGCATTCCAAAGAGCCAAAAAACAATATTTTTCCATGTTGGAAACTGCATCTTACAAATCTGCGGAGATGCTAAGCCGTGAGCTTTCCAACACCAGTTAGAGAATCCATCATGCAATCACGAGTTCCTGTTTGGCAGGATGATTAACTTCTACTCAAGCAGAATGTGGCGCAACTAATTCACCATTCATGGAATTCTCATCACGTGGTCGCAAGCTGACAAAATACGCAAGCGGTCTTTCATATGGAGAGGTTCAAGCGTCGGGTGAATTATTCATCTTTCTGAGCTACCCCATATTGGTAGTATTACGATAAATCGATTTTCGTTCAAGTAACGACAGTGAAGTCTCTCCTATCATTTGATAGCTCTGATTCACACGCCATCCTCGACACATTCAATCAGAATGGCGAGAACCTTGCCGCTAAGGAATGAAAACGAAACTTTGCAAGCATCTTGAGAAGCTTTCGATTAACTAACATATTTGGGCGTTGGATTGTTCTCCGGACTGGACAGTTTGATTGCAAGTGATTGATCATCAATCGGGGTGACCTCTCCTGTGCATTGTTGGGGAGCGTGGTGGAGTGTGGCAATTGGTCGGTGGTTTTGCGTTTAGTGGTGTTGCTTGTGTGTTAGTATACGTGGTGCTAACGGGGCTGACCTTCAACTGTGACTGGTTGTCCGGTCGGGTGTTTCCATTGTTTTCTCTCATATCCCTTATCCTAACTGGTCGATGGACAAACTCGGACAAAATTGTACATAGGATTATAAAATAATGCAGCGCGGCTGTCGAAAATAATAATGCCTTATCCTTAAGATCTATAAATAAGGAAAATCACATATTTATTTTGAAAAAAGCAAAAATCTTGGCATTTGCAGACACGAGTCATGGATTTGATCAACTGATATATTGAACTGGATCCGATTTACGTACTACCACGTGCAAAGTACGTGCAAAGTATGTGTAGTGAACTATCCAGTGAGGACCGAAAATTTTGTTGACATACCCAATGGAGTCAGGTCAATAAACGTCACAAACATGAACCCAGAGAGATCAAGTACAGGTGTCACTCTAGCACCCACCACAGTACGAACGCTTCATCGTCATTCAAGGTGATGTCACTAGTGCATCCTGAGAGGAATTTGTTGAAATTGCGTGGTAATTGTGCCTGTAGGAGTTGATGTAGGATCTTCTCAACCTTGAATGATATTGGACGCTAGGATGAGCATTTCTATTGGCTTGCTGTTTAGCCTGTCTCCTGGTTTAGCCTTGACCTCTCAGGACCCCGCTGTGAACTTTGCTATCATGTTACCACGATGAGTCCTGTTTCTTGATCCGCTGTTCCGATGATCAGGTCTGACTCAGTGTTACCACTGCAACAGTAGTACCGCGCCAGTAGCGGTGCGAAAATAAGGTCGGCTTAATTATTCCGCTTCTTTCAATTCTTTGCAGAGTACCACGACGTCGAGAATTGTCTCGTTGGTTGTACGTCAGAGCGCCACCATCTTTGGGTCTTTGTGTCCCTTCTGGTCTACACATGCTGAACTAGGAGACTGAGTACTGTCAACTATGGATATGTTCTTCCACCAATGTTTAAAGTTGATTTCAGTCTGTTCATTTTCAAATTTGTTGTAGTACTTGTGGCTGATTTGATATTTTGTTACGTTATTAGCACTCTCCTTTAATTTTGATATCAATATCCTCAATTTAGCAGTGTGTTTGTATTCTACAAACTCGCTGTAGCTTGTAGTGGTCTTACTGCTAATTCCCGCACGTTCGTGACGTACGAAAGGTCCGTCAGATTAAATAGTTGATCCTGTTGTTTCTGATGAGGACTTTTCTATTCACGCGTCTGACTAAACTGCCCCGCTATGCGTTGTTTTAAAATACACAATAGATGTGATTATTTTTTTCTGAGTTCTGCTGTATCGCAGTGAACCTTTGTTCCCTCGAACAGAATTTGAATGCAATTTTTTCTTGTAGTTCACAGGATGTTTGCTGTGACAATTCGGTATTTTAGCGGTTCGTTTCGTTTTTTTGCTCACCAATATGTCCAAAAGAGATATGTACAGTTAAGCCTATGTCCGGTCGTTTCGTGGTAGATATGTTAAGCCTGACAACTTCGGCAGCAGTGTGTATACTGAACTAGATCTTCCAACTGGAAGGCTTTGTATAAACCAGCGTCTTACTTTCTGAAACTTTAACATGTTTCGAAAGTACGACGGATGTAAGAGAACATTTTTCAACACCATAATCTAGTAGACATCAGAGCGCTCCTTCAGATTTATTGTTAGCTCTCCTTATTGTTACTTCGTTTTCGTAAAAATAAGTAACTTTATTAGCACCTGGTTAGACTGTAGTCGCGAGTTACACTAGCGTTCTCGCTTGCTTACTATAAGGCGAAGTAGCGTAAGGTTGGTGAGACCTAAGAAGGTAGCGGAAATTTACAAGTAGTGGGAACGGAAAGCCTCCAGTCTGTCAGAACACACACGGATTTAAAATCACACAGCATGTATAACCGGTGGCTGAAAAAACTGACTTGAAGCCAGCTTGATACTCGGAGGCATGTAGACATTAGCCCTTGGTTTTAAACGACAAAGCCAGAACGTACGGGACTTACTTCAAAAGTTAGATAGAGTAAAAAACTCCAGGAAGTTTAACTACCTATTTACCTAGTTTGAGACCGTTAAATACGATTGTGTTGATGTTATCAGCTATGAGTTATGAGTCATTTTTCTAGAATATGAATATTCAGAATATGGAGTTCAGAAAATGAATGAATATGAATATTCAGAAAGTGTTCAGTTGCTAAAAGCTGCGCTCGTGCTTTTGTGAGTAGATGGTTTACGTTCGTGGTAGAATTTCGGTTACTTGGGAGAACTTGGTTTCACCAAGAGACCATTTCGATGTAGAACAGTCCAACATAACGCCAGTGGTGTATTTCTTTCATGCGAGCCTAAAACGATGCAGGTTTTATTCACAAAGATATTTTAAAACGTTTTTGTGCACAACAGGAATTCAATACAACGTGTTGGCACTGTTACATATTTGGAAAAAGTAAGAATTTAGTGCCCTTCCAACACAGCCATTGTTTACCGTGGAATGACTTTATTAAAATGTTCGTGTGATTGGGAAAGCAACAACGCACTTCGGTTTCCCAGCCCACTGAGAATCCCTGAGATACCTTAAACTCCCTATCGTAATCGAGTAATTTGAAGGAAATCATATGTGGAAAAATTCCGTGGATAGGTGCATCACACACCCTGATTAGTCCCAAACTCATGGTCGGCAAACTAGTTTGTATGGAAGATCAACTGAATCCTTCCAACACAGCCATTGTTTACCGTGGAATGACTTTATTAAAATGTTCGTGTGATTGGGAAAGCAACAACGCACTTCGGTTTCCCAGCCCACTGAGAATCCCTGAGATACCTTAAACTCCCTATCGTAATCGAGTAATTTGAAGGAAACCATATGTGGAAAAATTCCGTGGATAGGTGCATCACACACCCTGATTAGTCCCAAACTCATGGTCGGCAAACTAGTTTGTATGGAAGACTCAACTGAATTAAAGCAAAACCCCCCGTTCCAAACCTTGAGTTGGTTTTATGCAGTGAATTTAGCTGAAGAACATCATAAATGAGAGGTTTTGCTAGGATTTGGTCAAATATTCTGCCTAAACACAATTAAATCGCAAGTGAGCGCATGTAGCGAATACTTTGGTTTACACAACACACCCAACTGATTTGAATACACCACATTGTG